CGAAGTGAGACATAACCATTAAGGGATTTGGGCCATAGCTGCCCATTTGTTGAACTGGATTAGGAAGGTGAACTGTAACTAGTTTTTAACTATCGCAGCTACCTAGTCTTTGATGCTGAACACTGTTAGAATTCTATCGGTAAAATTCTGAAATGTTAATAGTGAATAAAACGAAAAGACACTGCACTGCATGGTATTTTTGTGTTAATTGTTTAGACTCAATTGGCAGAGTGACACGGATATTTGTATTGTACTTGATGGCACTAATGAGTTAGGTGTGTAAGCAACCACTTGGAATTTGGTGTTTCCTTGGTGATTCTAAACTGCGCCACCCTATCATAAATCCAAACACCTGATCGCTATTTCGGCCACACCTGATCCTATGTAGGACTACATAACGTACACAAATAAACTATCTGGAGGTTAGGTGGTGTAGCTGTGGTTCAGAGTACTGCTCAAAACCTATCTATGTAGTTTTTTAATTTGATCACTAAGCAAAGTGATGCAACACACCGTCACACTGCAACCCAAAGTTACTTGTCAGATTAAATGAGCAGACGACACTGGAATTAGCTTTTGTAAATTCAGCCACTCATCAGCAGAGCATATCCGCAGACGCGAGGAAATTAGTGCTTTTTCGACGAATTCACATCAGTATTTCTCAGTCATGAAAATAGCTTCCTAATGACTAAGCTACTCAGACCGCAACGGCCACTACTTGTGAGGGGATTTTCTTTACAAATTTTTCAGCAGTAGGTATTAGATGTTGTCTAGTCCTTAGTGCTGAGCAATACACGAAACATTTTGATCAAGATTAGCAACGAGGCTAACAGTCCAAGTGATGCCATGTAGCTCTATACTTCTTTTTGGGGCCAGGTAATCGAAGTCAGCAGTTTGGACAGCCGAGTTTAGTCTTTCTTGTAGGTTCGTAATCACTGGCCACTAACATATCTGAAAACTTCTCACAGGTTCCTGCAGTCGAACATAATACCATCAATTTATTCGTGCTATCATTCATCCCCTTAGCGACTACATTATAAGTTCACAGTGTGGTCAGGAAGACAATAAAGTAAACTTTGCAGTGGCAGATTTTATTTCGATGCATGAAATCGCCAGGCAGCCTGACTCCACCTAGGTTACGTGCTTTTTTTCTCTCACCAACAAGGTGTATCTGAAAACTTAAAAAGCCTAATGTCTTGTATGACTTTCTCTCTCACCTTGTTCACTCCTGGTTTCTAGAACTTTGCCGATGAGCTATTCATGTTGCCATATGTCAGTTGGATGCACGTAGTGGGAAGCGAGCCTTCGGCCTAGGTCTCCTGCTGTGTTGGCGCCAATCAACAACGTACATCTGCAACCACAACGCGATGCTGAATGCCTAGTCTGGTGGCCATATTCCAAGACCATCGACTGAATTCTACTACCATTTACGACTACACAACAAGAAGTGCGTTACCTTCCAGAGAGTAATAAAGACTGTAAACTATTTCCTGTAAGACTGGGTGACAAACATTGATTTCTTAGTAGAGAATAACCAATTAAATGTTGCGTAAAAACATCGGATAGATAACTAGTTCACTAGTTGCTAGCCGGTCCTAAGCCCCGCAAAAGAGGGAAGGTTGGGCATTGCGTTAGCAACCCTACCCCGGAAAACCAATACAATAGCTAAACAAACTTCAACACGCAAAGAAAATGTTAAAAATAAAAACAAACGAATTCCTCGCTGGAATCGGAGAGGCGAAATGACGCCGGTTGGTGAAAGCCTGACTTCGCGAAGCCAATTGGACGACGTGTCTTCTCTCCCTCGATCAAAGAGAAAGTAAACGTGGCAACATGCAGTGTCCACGCGATGTTTGAACCTAGTAAGGTTGCCCAGATTGCAAACGAGATGGGAAGGTATCACATTAAAGTGTTAGGTATTCGCGAAAGCAGGTGGAATGGAAGTGGACTCCCCAAACTGTCAACTGGAGAATAGAGTCAATAATCTATTCCGATATTGTCACCCAAACGACAACCACGAACACACTGAGTTTTCGAGTGGCTATCTTGATGTCCCCAACACCATCGAAGGCTCTCATGCAGTAGAAAGCAATCTCTTCCAGGATTATAACAGCAAGTTTCAACTCAAAAACAAGGAAGGTCACAATCATACAATGCTACGCTGTGCACCTGCAAATAATGCAGACGCAGATGAAGAGGAGAAAGAGTTATTCTACAGACAACTGGAATCGGCACTGGACAAGACCCCATCTCATTTGGCGACATCAAAATTCTAATGGATGTGGTGACATGAAAACCAAACTGGGAGTGGATAACACAGGAGGAGAAGAAATCATGAGTCGAGAGGCACTTGGTGAAATAAAAGAGAATAAATAACTGTTTGAAGACTTCTGCTCATTTGATGAGTTGGTGATTGGAGGCAGTGTGTACAAACACAAGAATATTGACAAATCGAGTGACATGGATTTCACCAGACATCAGGACACACTACAAATCAGATCGACTTCATCTCAATGTGAAGAAAGTAGAGGCGCAGCCTACTAGACACAAGATAAAGAAGAGGAGCACGTGTAGGTTCAGATCATTATCTAGTTCAAGGAACCTACCTTCAAAATCAAATTGAAAGCCTTCGCAGAATTTGGTGATAGATCACAGGTGGAGTTGAACACCCAGAACAGAAACTGAAGGATGAAACTATAAGGGACATCTTCACGTCAGCCATCAAGACAAAATAGGATATATCGAGCAACATCCTTGAGGAAGCCTGTGTGGATGAACACTGGAAGTGTCTGAAAGAGATGTGGAAATAAACCTGCATAACCGTATTAGGAAGGAAGAAGTAAGAAGGCAAGGAATGGATCTCGACGGACACATGGAATCTGATAGAGGAGAGGAGAATGGTGAAGCAGAAGATGAATCTGGGCAGTGCAGGGATAAACAACGAAAAGAGGAACTAAACACAACCTATAAAAAAACACTACATTGGACAAAGAAGTGAAGAAGAGTGCGCGGAAAGACAGAAGATACTTCTACAACACACTTGCAACTGAAGCAGAACAGGCTTCTTGTAGGAGAGAACTGACAACACTATATCAAATAACCAGGTTACCATCTGGGAAGAGATCAACACAGATGAAACCAATAAAAGATGATGAAGGAAATTTAATTACGAAAGAACAGAAACAAAGGAAACGATGGATTGACCACTTCAAAAAACTCTTGAATCGACCACCACCGCCACCTACAACTCGTCCAGAAATACCACCTGCAAACGCAGAATTACCGGTGAACACAAGCCTTCCGACAAACGCAGAAGTCAAGTCCTGAATACCATAAAATTGCTGAAATCAGAGAAAGCAGCAGGACCAGATGGAATTCCTCCAGAAACACTGAAAACAGACGCAGAGACGACAGCGGACATGCTCACACCACTATGACAGGAGGTTTGCAAGGAAGGAAGGGAGGAAGGAGGGAAAGGTAGCTGCCTATTGGTTGGAAGAAGGGCTACCTTGTCAAAATCCAGAAGAAGGGAGACCTAAGTATTTGCGAGAACTGGTGCGGAATCATGCTACTTCCCCTGTCCACTCCAAACAGAATATTTCCTGCATCATCCTGGAGAGACTAAACAATGCTCTGGATTCAAAATTACTACCGGAACAGGCTGGTTGGCTGGCTGGCTTCAGGAAGAACAAATCATGTGCGGATCAATTTGCAACCCTGCGCTACGCATCGTTATAGAACAGAGCATCAATGGCAGTCAACTCTCTCTACCTCAACTTCATCGATTTTGTTAAGGCCTTGCATAGCGTCGACCGAGAAGTAATTTAGCAGGCAGCTGCTTCAACACCACGGAGTACCACTAACCTTTATCAACCTCATTCAATATCTTTATGACGAGGCCACATTCCAAGTGATTCACAATGGAAAGCTCAGAGATGCTTTAGAAGTGAAGACTGGAGTGAGACAAGGCTGCCTACTATCATCGATGATCTTCCTGATTGTAGTTGACTGGACTGGATCATGCAACAAACTATGAGGAGCGAGAAGAGGGTCATGCGCTGTTTGACCAATGAAAAGATTTAGATTTCACTCATGTTTATGTCTAATATCACATAAACTCAAGGATCTACAAGGAAAAACCAACGAGTCAACAGAAGAGACAGCGAATATGGGACTTCAGGTGGATGTCGAGGACAGGAGGGATGAAGATACCCAACCAATAGCAACAAGCACTAATCACCATGACCGGGAAAAACCTAAAGGAAGTAGTCTCTTTCACCTACCTATAGGCAGTGGCATAGATGAGGACGTCAAAGCCAGAATCTGAAAAGCAAGACAGGCTTTCACTAATCACAAATCAGTGTAGAGATCCACTGCACTGCACTCCACTCAACATAAAGAACAAGATCCGGATTTTTAACACTAACGTCAAGTCAGTGCTGCTATATGGTTCAGAAACAGGGCACATCACGAAAAGCATTTCCAACAAACTACAGACATACATGAACAGCTGCCTCCTACCCTCGATACTGAAGGTCAGATGGCCAGAAAGAATAAGCAAGAAGGAACTCTAGAAGCGAACCAACCGGTAGCCCATCACTCAACAACTATGCAGAATAAAGTGGAGATGGATTGGATTGCGCATACACTGAGAAGACTATTTAGTCCTAGTAACAACTGATTCCATCACAAACGTGCATACTACTTTTCTCAACTGACTTCCTCAACTGTGTAACAAACTGATAAGCCGAATCTCAATATTTCTGGCGTGCAATTTCTCAGTATGTAGAAACACCTGTAGAATGTGAACAAGAATTTATCTTAAAGAATATTCTATGTCCACTCTGTTTTCGTAAAATGTAATCGTAAAAGGTCTACAATTTCTTAGAGTTCCTGAACAAAACTTTATGTTTCATGTGATTTACACAAACAAGGTTAAGCTCGATAACCTAACTAACTAAATTATGTAAGTTAACCAAAAAAAAATGCAAAATATCGAGTGATAAATGCTTACACAACTTCAGAAGTTTCAATCATGATAAAAGTAATCTTTTTTTTCAATGAAATGTTATGGTACATACAGTTACATAATGAAGAGGTCAATAAGTAAATGTAGATGGTAGTCATTTACAATTCATTTAGTTATTCTTAGATTTCTAGAGAGAAAATATCATATTCAGTACGACAGGATGAAATGTTATGTTTGATAGATGATACAAATATTTCTCTTACATCCTACTATCCATTTCCTACTGGTTTGCATTCTTTGTCTTCCTTTCTTGGATTCGAGTTCTCTCTCTTTTTTCCTTTTTCGTCTATCGATTAGCTAGGGTTTCCAAGTGATGACAGACACAGCTATTTTTGCATGTTTTGCTACAGCTGCATTTATATCATTTTCATGTGGAGATATCTAATACAAAAGAGAGTATAGAATATAGTAGTGTAGTTTGGCCCCTGTTTTTGATTATAATTCCATTTTAATTTGTGCATTAGTTGTATCACACAGTTAAAACTAGTCTTACTGGAGAATGTTTTGGACACAATTTATTGTCCATATATTCAAATCTGATAAAAATATAGACAATATATTGCATCCTAAATGTTACCAAGTAAACAACACTGTTTAACTGTGTGACACGTTTAATAAACCAACTAAATGAAAACATGAAATATATATATATATATAGTCAGCGGTAAGATTTAATTGTGCCTGTGCTAGAGTAATTTGGCTGTTTTTTTGAGAAATATCAGACTGTGTTCCTTACCTGTGGTCATTTTGTCAAGGGATTAACTGTCAATCATACCAAAAATCCCTTAGCACATAAGCATGCGTGTACATATATAGCCGCTAAGATCGATTGTATACTTCCATTTTGACAAACTGGTGTGTAAAACGATGACTACATTCAAAAATGAACCGACTTTAGCTTTGAGTGATATGTACCATCACTTTTAATCAAATAATTTCATTCTTTTGCAAAGATGATATTATGATAGATAATGGTATGAAAGATGTATGATTTAAGCTGGATGGAGGCAATCAGAAGGAAGCGCTGAACTTGGATTTGGTGCTTTTTAGCACTCGTCGGCAAGGCACATCTGCAACCTCAGCGGAACGTACGTCCAGCCTGAGATTCGAAACCATGTCACCCATTGCTGCAGTCAGATACATCACCACTGAGCTATTCGGGCTGCGAGTGACCTCCCATATTACTGGAATGTGTACCTTGATAGGTCACTGGATAGTCACAAACTTCACGTTGTAAAATCCTAAGTAACGATTGAATTCTATCGATCATTTCGCAATGTGGGACTACCAACATAGGAAACTCATCATCGCGATGTAAGATTTGTTCGTCAGAAATATCAGTCATTTCATTGATGAGCAAACACCTACTTAAATCAGTCTTGTGCAAATTACGTCATTTTATTATCACCTTTTATTATACAAACATTATTTATCTAAAAATGATAGGATTAAACATACTTTATCATGAAGATGATCCTTTAAAATCCTACGTCCTTCAGGTGTCTCCGATAGACAGGTTATCACCTAGAAAAGAAATAAGCTGGTAACCAATCAATATCGCAGTGTATACAGCAATGAATTGTTATCAAATAAAATGTTTAGCTAAGAAAAGAAGAACTGACTGCATAGCTGGTGCGATTACGACTGAATGGAAGTGGTGTATCACAAAATTGCATGGTAACCGGGCTAGGCTTTCAATGATTGAAGTCAAGGCTATACCAGCAGCTGAGTCTCACAGCTCAAATGGGAGAGCGTCAGGCCCTTAACTCTGGGGCTGCTGGTTCCAATCCTACCGCAACCCAAGTATTTATTTCACCTTCACTTATTACATCAGCCAACGAAACTACGATTATTTCAGATAGTTTCATTATTAAGGTTTTCATTATTTGATGCTAAGCTGATTTGCTTGTTTGCTAATATTGTGTTAATCTTCACGCACCAATAAGTTACATTTGTAATGCTACTTAATTACTAACCAACTCACTTATATTCTCTTGCATTTGTTCATGAATTAAATTGCTTCTGACTTTCTACCATTATACTTCTTGTGAATTTTATTCGGATTAGCTGGTTTTACCTTTCAAATTGATTTGTATGGTGCTTTGTGGTCATTTGGCTAGCCTATGCGTTTGGCGAGTGAGTTACTAGTTTTGTCTGTACATTGCTTGGTTTAGCCCTTGTTGATTCTTTCATGTAATTGATTCGGTCGCTTTTACTCACAGAAGGTTGGGATTATTATTATTATTTTGGCAATAATTCCTATTTACAATACCTCTGCGACAATAAACCTCAATATTTTTGTTCTGAAATTTGAGAGTTCCGTGGGCCAATTTGACTGAGTTCTAGCAAACGCCATTTTAGACTTACCATTTGGTTGATTCAAACAATAAAACACAAATGAAATTCAACTCTCATATAAAAGTGGAACACTTTTAGTTGCGACAGTTCGCAACAAGAGAGAAATAAGAAGTAAACAGAAGTAGAATGTAAAGAATTTCATCGGATATCCACACAGAAAAGAATCGTTTAAGTAGATATATGTTTTGAATAACTTCTCTTTAGTCGTTGCAGTATTAAGTCAATAAATGTTATTATGAATTCGCCATTACAAGTCACAATTTCTCAAATAGAATTTTCTTTATGCTTTATCCTGGTTAATTCATAATAACACTCACTGACTTATACCCACAGAGCCTAAGAAGAAACGATGGGAAACATCTGCTCATAGAGATGGATTTCACCATATTAGATACAAACTAGTAAATCCCTTTAATATGAATGGTATTAGTAAGGAGTAATTAGCCTCATTAAAACTTACAGTATTGTCTGTGTTGTTTAGATAGACAGATAGACAAACAGACAAAATCAACGCAGAACCTCGCAAACAAATCCACCGATTCAAGTTGCTACACTTCACAGTGGTATACAAAGACAAAATGGAGAAAAAAAGACTGATATCAAAATAGACAAAAGTATTTGAGGGCAGAACAAATTTGAAAATGAATGTTAGCAAAACTTTTGAAGCTTTAGCAGACGTCAAAGTGTGATTGGTCTACACCAAGTTTTAGCCATGTCACCAAGAGTCATTAACCACTGACTTCTATTGTCTTCGGGTCCCTAGTCAGGTAGTCTACACTTCACCACTCGACGCAGACCAACAGTCAGAGACTTCGTCAACTGGTCTCATGTCTTGGTTTGGTCACCCTGGACGCTCTTCCAACCTAATCCAGCTTCCCCTAGCATCGCAGGTTGAAGTAGGCCGGGGGTCAACATGCGCAGCGGACTTCCAAACCACTTCAGCCACCGAAGGTTTGCAACCACATCGACTGACTTTTCTTCTATGCCTAGTACCTTTTGCTTGACCTCGACAGTGGTTCTCTACCTGATAAAGTCTGGCATAATATCAAGTCTCCTGTAGAAATAGCAGTAAAGAGAGTTGTTAGCATACATCTTAAGGTTAGAAAAAATCACTGGATTCTGTCAATCTCTTTTTGACCGACTGATGAGAGAAAACCCATTTCAGCTGGCTCTGACTAACATGGAAAGCGAAAGTCTTTGCTATGAAATCTAGAAGTTGTGTCTAGGGAATAGACTGAGAAAACATCAGAATTAGGCAATACTCAGCAATTATTAAGGAGTATTGAGGATACCAGGAAGTATAAGACAATGAGTACTGGAAACGGCAGAAAACGATAGGTTCATGATGACAAGCAACTAGAGTGTTCAGCTGGCCAAAAGCCACGTTTCACTTGCCCAGCATCGAAACCAAACCTTAATAGGACGTAGATGTCAGTCCCCTAACTCTCCTTGAAGTTGAGAAGGCTGTTTCAAACCTGAAACGATCCAAAGCAGCAAGACTTAGCGGTTTGCCACCAGACATTTTTAGGAAACGGAATAGAAGATTACTGGGTAGAGTAATGGAGGTACTAGGTAGTGTATGGAAGCCACAAGTAATTCAGTCAAAACTGACTTAGACCTCTGACCATTCCAGTTTTTAAGAATGGATAAAGATCTTCTTGACAACCTTAGGGGAACCAGTTTAACTAACATCGTGTTCAAGATCATAGGGTTTATACCTATACGATGCCCGGATGGAGCTGCAGAAAGTAAACTCGAGAAAGCCAAAACTCCATACTACGACAGGTTTTGGAATGCAGTCGAACTTACCGGTCGTCAATATTTGTCCCATTTCTTGACCGGAAGATGGTATTTGACTTTTGTAAGCTAGAGGTGTTGTAGTAGCATCTGACTGAGAAAAAAGTACTGAGCTAGTATGGGGTGCTTACCAAAGCTTTCTACTTAAACTAACATAACTGTGTCAAGGTTTACGGAAAGTTGTTGCTTGAACCAATGACAATCATTTATGTCAGCCAAGGATACCACTGTTCATATCCATACTTGTTAAAGATGAGCCATTAAATATAACCCTGGGTGCTCTCGATTTCTCAGGGATAGGTTGCGACTCAGAAGGGCAACTGGTTGATTTGATATCATTTTATTAGGCAATGATGACGGAATGCAGTCTTTTTAACGCATTGAGTGAAAACTTGAGTATGTTTGACATGCGTTTACTACCTTTCAGATTTAAGATAGTGCTTCAGGACTGGTCTGTACCAACTTCTCATTTTAGGTTAAGGAATGAAGTGAATGACTGCTATGACCACTTCACTTCTTTCGGACACTCATTTGTTTGAAAGGTTTGATTGTCAACGAAACGCCAGCTGGAATGTAAAAGGTCTATTTCTTCTTTACCAACCTACGACAACTCTGGCTCTTACATCGGTGAGATATCCGACTACCAACTTAAGAACAACTATACTGCTCTACAGTTGCCTCTGTTTTGTCATAAGGCCGCCACTAAACGTGGCTGACAAAGCTTCTGCACGGATACAAAAGGCTCGTTTGGCCTTCGTCAACTTACACCATTTATAGCGCCTGTATGACATCCGGCTGCTTATTGAGAGTTGAGTCGACTGCGCTGCTGTACGCTCTGCTTTATTATATGTCTGTGTAACATTGTTGCCAAATGTATAGCATATGAGGAAGCTTGTAGTGTTCAACCCCGGATGCCTCCTTAGCATAGGCCCTGTGCAACGGTGTCATCACATCTGTAGCGTTGAAGTCAAACTCAAAGTTTTAGGTAGAAGAGGAAAGTCAACCCATGAATTTGTGGACCTTATAGGACTCAGATGGCTGGAACATATATTGTACATTCGCCTACACCAACATCCCAGTCGTACAATGTTGGCTGGGTCATGCAAAAAATAAAGACCTCCCGACTGAAGTCCGTGCAACCATTGAAACCTGTTATTTGAGAATTTATGTAATATGGCTCAGAATTGGTCATACTAACACAAATGTGTGCATACTATCTTCATCCTAGTAATCATTCCTAATCTCACTATTGTTTCATTCCTACCAATTCTCCTATCACGACTTTCTACCACTTTGACTAGTTTCTTCCCTATCTCTCTGTCTTATATCTTGGTGCATCATTGCTTGATATGTCGATATGTAGTGTGGCAACTGGAAGCGTTACGTAGTAAATGAGGTCCGATGAAACAGTATTAGGCGTTCTCCACTTCCATTGATCTCTATTGTACCTGTATGACGCTGAACGATCTCAACATTATATCAGGATATTTATAACTGACAAGCTGGAGCTCACTGACTCAATACGTTGCACTTTCCGTTTTAGTTTACAAACAAATCACGACTGCATACTTCAGAGTGGTTTTTGCAGCAGTCTGGACACATAATCATCAGTTTAGTATCCTGTCAACTTCCGTTTGCATATAGTTAGTATGTACTCCATAAATCAGAAAAAATACTTACCTTTAGAACATTCAACCGTACGCGACTATTCTTATCATCAACCAAACTGAGAAGTAATGGAATAGCACCGGAGTTTAATGTTGTATACCGACCATGATTAGTTGTACATATGCTGAAAACAAGAAGATATAAACTCCAAAGATTGGAAAAATGCCTTAGTAAATCACTGAGGTTAAGATCTCATTTTATGACAGATCAAAAAGTTTGAAACAATTGGTCCCTTTAATAAATTTCGATAACGCTATTAGAAGACGAAGATTATCTGAAAAATGTGATGTATTTGCGCAATACATTTCGAACAATCTGATCACACATTTACTTGTCAAGTCAATTTATATATGAAAATTAAAGGTCAAATATAATGAATATGAAAAGGTTGTGACACTAGTCTTGGTAACATAATCAGATAAGGGTTACCAAGGCAAATTAAGTGAAACAACAAACTGTTTTTGTACACACAGCGGGGGATTAAGTTTACGAATGGCTAACGCTTCGGCAAACTTCAGTATACGCCCCTGATTATTCCTGTATATTATCTTAAACGCTGTTTTCGTATTAACCTTGTGATTCATTTCAATAATATGTTTTGCTATAGATGACGATGGATGTCTGTCTGAACGTTTGAACTTGTTAATTATCTTACTGATTTGAATATTAAAAATAAGAAAATGTATTCTTTTGATGTTAACTCTCTGTTTACAAATGTGCCTCTAACGAAGACAATTAATATTCTTTGTGACCACATATCTTCGAATTATCCTTCTTTCCCTATTCCTTCAACTTATTTGAAAGAACTGCTTTTATTATGTACTGATAAGGTTCATTTCACTTTCGAAGGTGAACACTTTCGGCAAATTGATGGTGTAGCCATGGGGAGTCCATTAGGACCGTTATTAGCTGACGTATATATGTCACATACTGAACTAATGGCCCAAGATTTAATCACCAATGTCACACTTTATAGAAGGTATGTGGATGATATCCTTGTAATATGTGACACAGATGAGGATGCCAAGAGGTTATTAAAAAGGCTTAATACCGTACAAGATCACATCAGTCTGACATGTGAGGAAGAAAAAGATCATCAACTTGCATTTCTTGATATACTCTTGTGCCGGAGGGAAGATGGATCTTTAAAACGATCAATATATAGGAAGTCTACTTGGACAGGACAGTATTTGAATTTTCATAGTTTTTGTCCGATGAAATATAAGAGAGGCTTAGTAAGATGCTTGTTCAATAGAATCCAACGTATTTGTACATCTGATACGATGGATGATGAGAATAAGTTTCTGACAGACACTCTAGTGGAAAATGGTTATCCATTACAGTTTGTCAACCATTGTAAAAAGCAGTTGACCCCAAAGCCTACAGTTTCCTCGGTCCCAAAGAAAAGCATATTTCTTAAAGTACCATACAGAGGGGAAACAAGTAGTATGATATTGAAGCAGAGATTAAAATCTGTTATCAGTAAAACATACTATGCAGCTCAGCTTATCATTGTTGAGACGACAAAACACCTGCTTCACCACAAACCTCAACCTCGCACAAATGATTACATCACATCCAACTGCGTTTACCAATTTACATGTATGTGTGGGCACACATACATTGGGAGGAGTAATCGTTCAATGCAGACTAGGGTGGGTGAACACATCCCCAAATGGCTAGAAAAACAGTTTAACACACAAACTTTGATAAGTGCAGGTGACAGACATCCATCGTCATCTATAGCAAAACATATTATTGAAATGAATCACAAGGTTAATACGAAAACAGCGTTTAAGATAATATACAGGAATAATCAGGGGCGTATACTGAAGTTTGCCGAAGCGTTAGCCATTCGTAAACTTAATCCCCCGCTGTGTGTACAAAAACAGTTTGTTGTTTCACTTAATTTACCTTGGTAACCCTTATCTGATTATGTTACCAAGACTAGTGTCACAACCTTTTCATATTCATTATATTTGACCTTTAATTTTCATATATAAATTGACTTGACAAGTAAATGTGTGATCAGATTGTTCGAAATGTATTGCGCAAATACATCACATTTTTCAGATAATCTTCGTCTTCTAATAGCGTTATCGAGATCAAAAAGTATTTATGCAGTTCACGGTTACATTATCCTAACGATATATGTGGAGTTTTTCTTAAAAACCAAATGTAAACATAACTTATATTTGACCTTGTTATCATAAATAGATGAGACAGAAAGCAGTCTGACAAAAGTACTAGGATGCCAAACACATTCATCACCCGATCTCACTTGTAACTAATTGTTTCTAGTATATTACTGAAGTTTATTAACGAAGCAAAATGTCAAGGATCCACATTTTAATTCTACCAACCTGTCAGTGATTTAATTGGAGTTATATACTACTCATATCCTCTCGCAGCATTATTTACGCAACAATGTTTATGCAGTATTCAGCATACTAACGTTTCTCATCTTTTGTATTTGTTAAAGAAATTTGTTATAGTGGATAAAACTGAAATCTTACATTTATTGTTAAGGGTTTATTGTTTACCTATTAACCTGCATATTACCATTACTGTTGACTGTCTATTTGTTACTTAGAAGTCAGATTAATAAGCATCTTACCTTGGCCAGACTTTACTACTCTTGACTGCTTAATTTGACTGACTTCAAACCCCATCCTCGTAACTGCTGGAATAACCAATTTTATGCGAAAACTACCTTTTTAGCTGAAATAGCGAAACGTGAAAGGTGACTTTATCAGTTGCTAGGATGATCTTTAGAATCCCTTGTCCTATTATAATTAATATTTTTGGTATTTGTACTGGCTGTGTTTCATCAATGTGGAATGTTACCATTTAGAAATATACAGTCAGTAAGTTAGCAATTTCAACGGTGTTAAATCCAGTTGAAATGTAGGATATTCACCAATCGGTCACAGTGAATCGGACTCACTAATGAGCATGGAACAGTAATTCTTTTATTGGTGGTTTGTGAAGCTTGATTTATTTAAAAATAGTACTTCTCACCAACCGTTATAAGTCGGGGAACCACTGACCAGACGGCTGTTTTTCAGAGGACATGACTATTCAGTAGTGGACACTTACGACCCCGTAAGAGATAGATACAGGAACCTTCAAGAGTCGCCGAGAGAAGATTACTATTTAGCCTGTCAGTGAACAAATACTGCCTTGAAATTATTTAACTCTAACAGAATTTCAAGTAGAATGCTACTAGAAGGTTTCACTTGAATAAATTACCATTACCATTTTTTAAAAATGTTAGCGATGAGGGTACTATAAGCAGCCGAAGAACTAATGTTGGATGAAACACAGAGAGTATTTGCTTCTGAAACTGGAAACAGTTGATGAGTTCTACCTACAAATATTCAAACGTGAAATTTAAGTTCAAAGTTGACACTCAGGTATTTTTCTTTGGTTTTTATCTAGTGTGTTTTGAAGCCCTTTGTATGCAATTTTAAAAGATAAAGTATAACTTTAATGTAAGTATAGAATTCGGGCACTATGGAAGTATGAAATTCCATATTAGAGTAGTCAATTTGATATAGCACAAAGTGATAAAGTATGATAGATAATAGTGCTTAGGTGTGTTATTCAGTCGGCAAGAAGCCCCAGAACTAGGAGTGCCAACAAGCGTGAAACCTACTTAAGTCAAGTAAGGCTTTCTTCTGAGTACCCTTCCTCCCCAACTAGCTAGTATCAAAGTACGCCATGAAGGTAGGTTTCTTAAACTGATGACCATATTAAAAAATGATAAATAGAATTCGGTCAGCACTTAGGACTAAATAAAAGGAAATTGGTTACTCTGTAGTAACTAATCAATGTTTTCTGATTCGAATTTTTATTCCTTTAAATCATACTTTCAACACCTGGATCCATATCGCTATCGGGATTAAAGTTGACTTATTGTTTTGTCAGCTTCAAGGTTAAAACGAAAGCTCCTTACTTACAACTACTACTCTGAAATGGTGATCAGGCATGCATATCACAACTAACCAATTACCTTTGCCAATTTGTACAACTTTCCTCTCAAGTATTAGTCCCAGCTACGCTTATACCATCAATACTCAAATTTTTTAAGATTCTTATCAACCTTCTTCATCGTAACATTATAACTTTTCTTCAGATCTCTTTGTTAATAATCTTACGCAATCATGAATTTCTTCTATTTCTGCAGCCCTTTTGAGTAAACAAAACAACATCCATTGTCTCATGAACATGCGCTTCAAAGTACACATTGAAGCTATCAATGTCATCACCCCTCGTAGAATCGGACAGCTAGCTTCTCTGGCATTTTTGGCCCTGTAAGTGTGTTGTGTTTTTGAGATACACATACAGAACCCATGTGCGGTCACTCACCTAACCTCACCTGGCCAATGTGGTGGATCTGCATAGTTCACTCTTCAAATTTCTGGAACTACTACAGCTACTTCTCATACTTTCGCAGATGTAGGTATATCGTTGAGTACTGAGGTAGAAGCTGCACTACTGGACTGGATCCCAGTTGACAGTCGCCTGTGAGGTGTTTGACTGAATACTGCAGTAAGGACTGAGAAAACTAATGAAGCTTGACAGGATACTTATTAGGAGTGATCTCAATAGATCTCTTGACTTTAATGAAGAAGGACCGAACCGACGATAAGGAACCTTGTGGTTCTATTCAAATCTGATTTAGGTTGCTCATCAGAATATACAAATGTCAAATACCTTTCCAGCATAAAATAAAATGTTTAAAACATTGGTAACCATGCATTTTGACTTACAAACCCAACGCTCCAGCAGATGATGCCCTCACATTTTCACTTTTATCATTCAACAAACTGACTAAAGCAGGGATCGTTTCATTATCTAGAGCTTCCTGTTTACCTCGAGAGTTTACACTAAAAAGTAAAGTGAAGACTGTAAATACTACTGTTATAAATGTTAAATTAGGTTTTTCTTGCAAGGTGTTTGAAATTAGTCGTAGAGGGGTTCTGAACCCGGCTGTAAGTGAAAGGAAACCTATGTTATCCTGATAATTCACAACTGTATTATCTAGTATGTAGCTCAAAGAGTTTAACACTAAGATATTCAAACAACTACTGACACGTGTAGGAATTGACTATATGGATGAATCTGACAGAGAATTATAGCTAATAAAACTGCTAAGTTGGACAATGCAATTAGAGTACAATGACCAGGATTGCTGATACATGTTTCTAATAAATAACACCAAGTATAAATTTCCATTTTGATCTGTTTATTAGAAATGTCACACAATGAAACAGTATTATTTACTGGATGACGCTTCGGAAGAAATGTATTGCCCATAAAATAACAATAATTAGTCCAAGTATAAAAGGTTCGCCACACAGGCATCTCGGTCTATTGATTTTAAATGCATAATATCAAACAAAGTCCGTCCCAGTGTTCTATCATATAGTCTAGTGAAAATATTTCAAACTGTAAGAGAAAAAACTGAACTAGTGACCTGGTTAAACTTTGGGTTACAAAACACTTTCCATTGAATTTATCTCATCAAATCCATCTTTTAAATATGAATTTTAAACGCGTTAAGTACTCTTGCGGACTTTTAAAATGACTTCAACCCTCCGTTTCTCAAGCTAACAACAAAACAAAGGATAAACGATACGCTGGTAAAAGTTGGGCTCATACATCTATAGAAATACAGTATATTACTATTCCTTAGATAACTATGTCGAATTGCAGATTTTGATACTGTCTGAATAAACTACAATCAACAAAATTACACTCGATATTCTATTCATTCACCAGTCGAAACCAGACGCTAATGAAATACCAGGTTTTCTGTTTCACACTGTAGCTTTTATCACTGTTATTATTAACATTATTCAAATGCAATGATTATTTCGTTTAAAGGTATTGTACAGTGAATGAATTTGCTGAACTGTTACACGCTGAGAGTTCCGTACTGCCCCACAAGTCTTGCTTGGAATAAAGCCATTATTATTATTATCGTTATTATTATTATTACTGTTGTGACCTTAGGCACTGTGATAGCATATAGTTCTATATTAGATTTTTTTATTTGACATAGCACATAGTGACATAGTATGATTTACTGGATGAGGTTTCAAGTAGAATCTATTACTCATATTCATATCAGTAACCACACGACTTTTAAACTTCCTTTATTTAGTCCAACGGTTCTTCATTCATTTATATTGTGATGAATCATTCTTTTCACATATGTTATTTTGCTGACTGGTTAAATGAACAAGAATTCTGTGGTTAACCTCTCCCGCCATGTAGCTATATTAGATTTTAGAATTGTCACCCTACCCCACTTACCCTATAGTGTCATTATGGGTCAGTGCATGCAGACTGATTTTTTCTCTAAATTACTTATCTTATAGGGTCTACCACTGTATGTTTCGCCAAATGTTTGTGTTTTCCTATTCTGACTGACCCAGATCGGCTGCTTTGACCTATATACTTGACCTCACAATCATTACATGATATGTCATAGGTTAGGTTAACTTTTTAATTGGCTCTGCTGGATCTTTTAGCGTACAAAGTTTCACTCTGAGTGAGCTTGTAGGTTAGGACTGTTAAGAATCTCAAATAAAATTTCCGATGTATATTCCTTTGACCGTCCTGTATAAATAATTTACCTACTTACATAGTTTTCAAAATGCCGTCTGCCATTGAACCATGTATCAAACCGTTTATTCATGTGAAAAGTGTCAGCTGTTTTTCCAATTCTAAGGTGGAAAGTAAGTACAGTTATGCAGGATGAATGATGCTTACAGATCACAGTGAGTTAGTTGAGGCTTCAAATACCATCCAAATGGATTTATGACTGCAGTTTTGACTTCAGAATATACGCATATAGCAGATATGAAATACATATTTTCAGATAAAATGCTACAACACCTGGGAATAACTTTTAGTCTCATCCTATTGCAACACTACAGAGGATTTGAATTCCCTCTTAGGCATATTACAGTCACCATTAACATTAACAGTCTTTAGTTTGTTTTGAGCACTTAGGACTTGACAACTTTATCGATTACTGCTGAGTGATGTATTCATAGAAAACGAGTTTATCCATGGTTTATGGATAGTTTCTTTCAACTACTACTTTAATGTGTAAATGTGAGTGCACATTTGACTGCAGCTGAAGAGTTTTTCTATACAATAAACTCATAATTATGATGTTTATATGGACAGCAATTATGAATCGAATTCTAAAGCTTTAGTAAGTGTTCTCAATACTGTCGAAATAAAATTCAACCCATTTAGCCTAATAATTTGTGATAACTGCTTAATTTGAAGAGAGTAAATAGAAAGTAAGAAGTTTTACATTTCTATATCATATGTTATTGTATATCAGCAGTTACATGACAGTTCAAACATAATCAGATTGTGTATTCCAAAGTCAAAAGAATAACAAGAGTGAGTTATAGCAAAGGAGAAACTGTAAAGAATTCAGTCACCAACACTAACAATGATACTTGTTAACTCTTTTTATGTCTTTAGACGTCTACAAAATCTTAACGTTTGTAATATCATAAAATTGTAAGTAGTTTATTAATGGTCACTTAAAATGATGCAGTGTACCTTCATAGTAAGTAGAAAAATGCCATTTGCCACTTCAGTCACCCTTGGTGACTGGATTGAAATAAACGTCTAGTCAGCAGTTGAGTATAGTGGCTCAGTTGGTAGAACATCGGGTAGAAAACCCTCTGGTTATTGGTTCCAATCTTACTGTAGCAGAAATTTACATTTTACATTCAATCATCAATCATCTGACTATAAGACAGTATACACAAAACATTGGAGCTTAAAAGCCTATCTTTGATTAGTAAATGATATTAGTTCTTGTAAATTAGGCAGTGCCTAGCAATATTATTCAGGATTTTCAATGTTGACTTTTCTTCTGCGTAATTCCACTGAAAATAATATCTCTAAATCAATGTCAGCTTTGTCTTCCAAATACTTTTAATAACATTCTACTAAGCTCATAAAAATCAAAAATCGAACCTGAATTCTCCTGCAATCTTTGATTAATTCAGAGTACACAAATGATTTAATTATGTTTTCGAAACCCAAAGAAAAGTCTAAAACTCTAGAACATACAGAATGCCTCTTTCTGTGATTTAATGAAGCAGAATAAAATGGTGTTTAACAGCTTTATTTATCGTAATGATTGCACTACCCCTGAGAGAGTTGACTGAACAAATTTTCTGAAAAAATATCCAAAACGTTAATCATGTACCATCTAACATTGTACTTATTAGTGACAAAACAAACAATTCTTCAACTTTACTGTTCCCCGTTTTTGTCATCAAACAAATATTCAAGACAAAAGAGTATAGAATGCTATTTGACTGTTGATAGATGGCTGTGAAACCCAGAACGCCTGTCTCTTTCTGTTTGTAACTCCTCAGGTGAATATTGCTCCCACTGAAACTCAAACCCAGCACTGATTTCCTGCGAACATTAGAGTGATTTTCACTAGGCTACTGAGTTACGATAACCACATTTTATACAATGGCTAACAGTTGTTATTCATTGAAACTTGCAACTTCCTATTGATTATCAAACAGAATCAAATTCACTGGTATCTCCTGGCATATAAGTCACTTGAGTGGATGTTTCAATTTTCATGATGATTTTCATGGACTACTGATCTCTGAACTGTGCGGGTATATGAGAACTTTTGAAGAGCATGATGAATTATTGATTGGAGATGCCAACTAATGACAATCTAAACCTATCCAAGTGATAAACGTTATGCATCTTTATGCTCCTTATGTTTATATTCTTTTAATCTTAAGTGACAATTGTTTCCGTGTTGTGTTTAAAATAAAAATTAATGTGAATAATTCGTCTAGTAAAACCAGTACGTAGTGATAATATTTTGCCAGTGTTGCTCACAAAATGACAATATATAGTCCGACAGGTTGGCATATACTTTGACTAGGTGATGCATTAAAAATGCCACTTTTCAACTTGATTCTCCAAATGAAAAATGTTAGGTAGCCGAATACCAAAGGGAAGAAATCCTGTTTGACCTAATTATACCTGAAATCTCGAAAAAAAAATAATCACATTTACCCAAACCTAGATCAAATCATGCAGAAATTAGATATTTCACCAAAAGGTTGAGTGGTCTATGCACGACAATATGCACAAATTTGGTAACCAACAAGTTTCAAGTCCCTAGTGCTCAGCACCAATCAGTGTTTATCGATCAAATTTGCAGTGTGACTACAGAATGCTAATGATTACCGATAACTAATTTATTGTAAGGTGTTACAGTTAGGAGTCAAAGTTGCACTTCACAATAATAGACTAGTTAAAAATGAGAAAGCTGGTTATGTGATTAGATGCCACTACTAAACAGCTTGAGTAGTTATAAAATATTCAGTCTGATCTGTAGATTTCGCCAGCTAGATCAAAGCTAAGTGAACAAATTCGGCTATATGAATTGAATTTGTCCAAGAGTATCACTGGTGATCTCGACCACGAACAAGTGAGACAGTCGTCCAGTGTTTAGATCAATTTGATCTAGCTGGAGAAATCTGTAGATCAGCCTGACTGCTTTCTAACTACTCAGGTTTTCAGTAGTATATTTCTATAGTTTATGACAGTATTGTATCAGAGATCACACTTTTTGAACTTGGCTGAAAGGTGGTTACCAACAGAAACCCCGTTGACATTACAATTGAGCAGCTGAAAAACTACTCAGCTGTGAGAAATGTCAATGTGAACCGTGTAATTTGTAAATCATTTAATTACTTATTACACAGATGGATATGAGCTAAATTAGAATTGTTTTTCTTTCATGAGTGAATCAGAAGAGGTTGTAGGTAGTACTTTATGCAGATGGACACTAGGAACAATCTTTTCATACTTCATTTCATATATTCCTACATCGATTAAACAGTTGATTTCCTTCAAAGGTGAAAATAAAGTGAATCGGTCACTCAAAGTAAAACATATTTACCATCTGTTGAATTGATTACTTAATTAAATCATGGAAACACTCTCCACTTTTGGTTTGAATAAGATTCTATATTCAATCTACCTTCTGATTATATTAATTCATATTCAGAGATACAATTTTGGATAGATTGTAACTGAAATGCTTAAAACATTAAGTGAAAGTTCATCATAAATCCTCTTCACTGATAGCTAATGACAATATCATCTGCAGTTCAACTGTTATTAACAATAAAACGGTTACAATTGCAGAAAACAGTCATCATTGTGGACACATTGTACCATAGTTTCTGAAAGATCCCTAAATATCCTTCTCTTCTCTTCAAGTATTCGGTTAATCTTTTGCAGACATATGTTAGGAAGGCCATGTCAGTGTATATGACTGTTCTGCTTGATATGTCTACGTTATAGAGGAGTTTTAGACCATAACCATCTCAACATTCACAAATGATTAAAGTTTTAGAGACAGATAAGCTTTATTATTGAGAAAAAAACTAGTCCTCTAATGTTGCTCATAAAATGACTGGAAATATTCTGATGAGTCTTTTCAGTAATTCTCAATTTATAGTCAATAGTGCTTTTGGCAGACTGTAAGACTACTGCAATATTTTTCAGCAAAAATTCAGTTTACAGCTGTATGAACTAACAAAACGATAAATTTACAGACAAAAATGGATTCACTTAAGGTATAAAACTGGCTTCATAAATCCATACTAGAACAAACTTAGAAATACAAAACATAAGATATCATCGAAAAGTTATCATAATGTATATTATTGTATACAGCTAGTTACTAAAAATCTACAGTAACATTGTACCCAATGCTAGTGAAATTCTTTGAAAATAGTATGCAGTTTCTTCAACACAAACTTTATACATTTTGATGCTGAATATAAATACCACAAAAAAAAATGTGTTCAACATACTTCTGTTTTAGTCGTTACTGTTTTCTAAACAGATTATCTATCTAATAAATCTTTCCTTTATCACCTTTTCTTAGTGAATCAGTTTAAGTATAGAAAAAGTAATTTGCTTGTCAATCTTAATTCCTTATGCAATGATTGTATCATTTGTTACATGAATCAGGGATCAGTTGAAATCTGAGAAAAAAATTGAATAATTCATATGAAATGTAACCCTCTAATCAAATCCGACGAAAGGAAAACAACGCCAAAAGAAAAGTCTTTAACATACTTAGGAAAAGTGAAATCATAAGTATTATTACTGAGTACAGTGTTGAAAAGTATCCACAAAAACCCAGTACATTGAATTTCAAGTTTATCTGGTCTCTTTACATAACATATCTGTTATCATGAGACATTAAACTAAACCTGTTTTCTACAGTATCATAGACTAAAATAATTCAGAACTCTATCATCTTACTACACGAGTAAAGTAAGCACAAAAACAATCAGCTAGGAAGTTATTTATTGTCACACTCAGAGTTTATACTAAGAGATTACAAAATATGTGTATCTAAGCAATGAAATTTCTAAATGAAGAGTTCAGTATTCAATTCTAGAGTAATCTAAACACTTCACTTATTCCGACCAACTTTTGACTGTCTCCATGAATCCAACATGATAAAATATTGTAATATCTCATTACTTTTCATTCATAAGTCGTATTGAACGTCTTGACTGAAACACTTCGATTGATATCGAAGATATGAACATGATATATACTGAATGACCTCTATAAATTGTTGGTCAGGTAAACCATTTTATTACGACAAACTTAAGTATGCAATTAGAAGACTAAATTTTAGCTAAGAACTCAAGTATCACGCTGAAATTGTGATGACACTGTTAGCAAAATTTTATACATGCTAAAGAAAAACATAAACATAATTATCGAACCAATTACAGATGTAACTGAAAATCCCCACTGTAATTTACATTTTCATACAGTTCTCTTTATACAAATACTTCGGTTTCAAAGTTATCAAAAATAAGCTTTCAGGTTTGCAGTTAACCATAAATATCTTTACATATACATTTTCTGATCACCAAACTACAGAAAAAAGTGTATTTGTTGTTTGATACTTGTAATCTGCTGTTGTTATACTGAATCAAATCGCTTGACATCTGTTTGCAGATCGGTTCCTCAGTGGATTTTGTTCCTAATGAAACTCGAACCCAGTACCCATTGATTTGAATGTCAAAGTATCATCCACTAGGCTACCGTGTCCCAAATAGGAATAAACACGTGTCCTGAATTCCATTGCTAGCCATCAAGTAGACTACAACATAATCGGTAATCAGGCAGTATCGAGGCATCCGCATAAGAGCCCATCTACCAACAGAGATAGATCAACTCGACCAAGTTTAACAACGGTAGATTACAAGTATCAAACAACAACTGATAATCACTGCACAAGAGAGAGATAGCTGTCACATCCCAGTGACCTAGTAAATAACGCTCCGGCGTTTGAAGCGATGGATACTAAATTCGAGTCTCAGTCAGAAAAAAATTGCACACTAGGATCCAGGTGGGTCCAGCTGATAAGTCCCATATAGGATTAAACGCGCATCTTGGATTGCACTATCAGCCACCAAGTAGATTGCAAAAAAAATCGTATTTGGCTGGCAAACGAAAATGAAAGTTATCACAGTAGACTAAAAATATCTACTATTCACAACTCACCATAACCGTGAAATGTTTTCAGCTGCACGTGATCTAACCTCTGAAGTTGGATGAGATAATAACCTGGTAAACAATGGTATTCCACCTGATTCCAATCCTTCATCAGTGTTAAAACTTAAACAGTGGTTCAATGTGTCCAATATAACAATCTATGCATTCAAGTGGTAGAATTTTCATTTCACTATTGTTCAGGCCTTACTTTAATTTCTTCAACTTCTTTCTCAGCACATTTAATCAGTAAGTCAATATATCTTGAACCAACAGTTGCTTTTGCTCCTAGTGGATCTACTGTTAAAAGTTCAATGGCTTTATGTGTATTAAGTCGAACGATATCAGGCTGACTATAATTAATAAGAGGTTTAAATGACTCCATAATATTGTGATTTAATACAGCGATTCGACCTATTGAATGTTCTTTTGTAAAAAATATTTTTTAAAGTAAGAAGTACATGTTAACTTACGACAACAGATTACAAAACATTCTGTTGCATAAGCTCTACAAGATACATCAGGATCTTTTAATAGCATATTCAATGAACAGATCACTCCTAAAAAGAAAGGATTCGAACGGTCAGTGCTGACAAAAACAATCTAGTAATTACCTTCATTAACTGCTTCTGCTATATGCTCTGGATCGTGTAAATAATCGCATAAGGCTTTAACGGCACGTTGACGTGTTAACAGATCTTCATCTTTCAGTTCTCTATTCTTTATAATATCAAAAGACAACATAACATTATTTTAAAATGAAGCAACGGTATAAAGTGTCAGTTTTCAATAAAAAATAAAGTTGAAAAACAAGTAAACTGTTATCATTTGACTATCTGAGGTAGCCGTAGTTTAGCAGACTAGTATTTATACTGCATGGTGATTCAAGGTGAAATGAAAATTTGGACCACGGTCGGATTCGAACCAGCGACCACCGGGTTCCCGACCCGATGCTCAGATGACATAGCATCGAGCCGGAAAGCCAAAGGTCGCTGGTTCGAATCCGGCCGTGGTCCAAATTTTCATTTCACCTTCAATCATCACCTAGTTTTAATTTCATAGGTTTGGTTTATTCCAGGTAAACTTTATCTTCTAACTACTTCATTCGAATTTCAGTGGTGAGGTTTGTATGATGATAATATTTACCAATGCATAACACCTAGTTCGGTGTTGTTTGACTGGAATAGATTTGTCATACTGTTTAAGCTTTACGCAGTCAGAAACAAGCTTATTTCATGTTTATATATCCAGCACCTGTCCATCTTGATGAGTGGTATTAGTGAACACCTGTGCACTATCTTCTTATAAAATGTAAGGTTGGATTCGTTGCTAGTTCATCAATCTTATAATTATGATTCTCCATATTTTACACTATCCTCTCCAGAAGTAGATTCTTAATTAATTCTTTACTGCTGAATTTGATCATTTTAGTAGTGTACGGATGATTATGTTTTTACATAAAAAAGAAACACTGACCACATTTCTTGATGATCTAGCATAACTCTGAATTGTCTTATATGTTTTTTTTTAAGCGCTCGTTATCTCTTCATCATGATATTTTGTGCATTAACTGAAACTGAAATCAGATTACACGACAAGACTACAGTCTTCTAGTTAACTATACTATGAATGATTAGCACTTTTATGAAAGAGTCACTTAGTGGAAAGTGTATAAGGTTTGGCCAAAGAAGTGAATACTTTAAATGAAGTTTTCAGGGGAAATGAGAACATAATTAGGAATTTCATCTCACAGGCTTAGTCGTCAACTGTCGTAACCAACAATCTTCACTGGAACAAGAAAAGATTTCATGAAGAAATAACAGACTTATAAGGGTAGAATATACTATGAACTCCCGAGCTGTGTTGGAAAATTAAGGTTTGTAGAAGTTAAACTTGGGCACTGAGGTAGAGTTCAATTTCATATTAGATTATTTACTTGGTACAGCATAGTGATATAGTGTTATTTACTGGATAAGTATTAGTGTCTTTTCACCGTGTTTCAGTTTCGTATTTAGATTTTCTGACTTAGTAGTCGAACTCCTAGATAGACTACTTAAACATTTTACCAGGCTTCAATCCATTAATATATATATATATATATATATATATATATATATATATATATATATATATATATATATATATATGAATAACATCGGACCAAGCATTACTGCGTAACGATCAAAGTTGCCATACCTCATAACAGCATATCCAGTTGCAAAATAATAAGGTGGAAAATGAAGAAAGAGGGAAACGTCGGTCAGAAACAGTAGAAGATAGTAAAAGAGAGGAAGACAATGAGAAAATGCTAAATTCAGTATAGCGATTCAGATGAAGATAAGGTGTGGATACATCTGCGCCCGTGATATCGATTCTGAGCCATATCATCTACAGTCTCCAACCACTGGTTACTGTTGTCACGTGGACCCAAACTGGCTACTCTGCATTCCCCTGCATGACTCAAACCGATAGTCAAAGACTTCATGCAGTGATGCCATGTTTCAGTCTGGCCACCCAGAAACTTCCCGTAACCTTGACCTACTTTAACTAATATGGCACGATGAGGCAGGCGCTGACAAGGCATGCGTAACAGACGTTCCAGACACCTCAGTCAATGAAAGTTCACAACCTGATCAACTGACTTTCTTCATCTTCCTGAGACTCCACACCTGATTTCTAAATAACTGACGTGATGACACCACGAGACGACCTGTTCTGCAAACGCAAAGGCGGTCGAACACTGAAAGTCTCCTCATGTCTTCTACCTTTAATGGCCATGTTTCACGGTCGTATAGTAAGACAGAGTGAACTGAAGCCAATCGGATACCGTGGCGGCGCCACATATGACGTAAGTTAGCAAAAGCCAATCGAACTTTCTGCATCCATGCAGAGATTTTGTAGGTCACTGTATCATCAGGGTCGATACGACTTCCCAGGTAAGTGAAGTATCCAAAGAACTCAACCACTTCCCACTCTACTGTTAGCTAGATCACCGCTAATCAGCCTACCCTGGCAGATATGTGGTGAGAAGATACGAAATCCAAGTTTCTATTCGAATGTGTTGGTTTCCCATAAACACTGGTATCTAATTCGCCATTTTCGCTCCTCCCGATTTTGTGGTCCAACATAATCAATTCTCTTTCTTCATTTTATAATTTATAAGTGAACTGAATTGCATATACTATGTGAGAAAAAAAACTCTGAATATACTGAGATTTCAACATAGTAAATGTGTCATCCACATATCGCCATTATACTTTTGGATTAGGTTGGAATGTTCCCAGTTGTCCATAACTGCGTCTGCTACAATCGGGGATATTAAAGATCTCATTGATACTGTTTGTTTGTTGATATATTTTGTACTGAAATTTGAAAACCATGGAAGTTAAACACAATCGTATTTCTAACATAATTTCTTCTATCGAAATTTCATTTCCACTACTCAGTTCATAGTCAGACGTCAGTTCATGTCTGACTACCTCAAATGTCATATTAATTGACATGTTTGTATAGAGGCACATAACATCAAAACTGACCATTTTCTTTGCCTCCTCTAATTGTGTGTATCATTGAGTTTCTACTTGAGTTCAAATGAATTGGTTATTCTATATCATTAGGTGTTACATCAAATAAACAACCTAATATGGAATTCAAGTTTACTATCTGTTAGATTGCAAACAGGAGGAGTATCCAGCCTAAAACCATCTCCTGTAGCACAGATAAATTAAGCTTTTATTATATCTCAAAAGTTATCAAATAAACTTCATCTTTCTTCTGAATTCATCAACATTTTCATCGTTATATTTATTTTCCCATTCCTTAATACTGTTTCAGAGTGTTTTAGGTAACTCAGACCAGTGTATAATTTCATCCACTGAATCACTCATTTGAAGTGATATTACAACTACAATAGATTTTGAATCGTGAAAATTACAATTTGGAATAATTTCTGACATTTTATCTTTCAAATATGGTGGGATAAACAAAACTATTCATTCTTCATACCTATATCCTCTCAATATGTTTATTGTTGAAATAGATGCAGAAGTATATATAGGTAGGAAATCAGGGTAAGTGTATTTGAAAATGGTGTTTTCAAAGTAAACGATTTTTACTAGTTGTTTTCTTACGTTTCATACTTGAAAGCTCAACTTTCCGTCTACAAACTGTATACAACACTACTAAAGACAACTGTTCTTCATAGAATTACCGGAAATGGCGAAAATTTTCATATGATGTCTAACTGACTGACTATCTTAATCAATCAAGGTAAATTGAATGAAATTGCACTAAAAAAGTAGCAGAAGTGGTATATATAGAATTGTTATCCATTAGAATTTCTACCTACTCAAGAAATTAGGATAGGGAATAAGCTTCGCTATATGAAAAACATTCCATCATAATATTAGCATTTTTAAGAAGTTCAATGAAAATATTTATTTGGAATTCATTGCCATAGTGGGATTAGTTTATTCATTCAGTAAATATTCAGATTTTTTATCAGAGAAAGCGTACATCAGAAAAGAAATGACCTTCCCATGTTTACTTAAATCTTTGGCATTTTTTCTGTATTTACATATCAGAACCTATTGTGTTTTTGCTGTCTTTCAGTCAATGTTCAGTTAAAAAATAATAATAGAATTTTGAGTAGACTCCAGCTGATGGTTTAAAGTCCTTTTTTCAATGTAAACAGTTTTTGATACATTTTTACCAGTGCATGAATAAGATTTTGTTTGGTTCTTCCCACCAGAGTTATAGGCTTTTTAATGTCTCATTTACTTCACCTTTTTTTATTGCAAGTTCGACCTAGAACTCTGAGAGAAGGTTAATCGAAATCGTCTTAAACATGCCAGGGTGTTATGCAGGGATGACATTGGTATCTGGTATACAGTGGTAAGGAATGTAACAGATGATGCCATGATAACAGTGTAAGAGATCGGTTGGATAGGTATGTTCTAATATGTGACCAGTCTTATATAAATCGATGTACACCAGTACCAACTAAACAGAACCTTACCTATATGCTAGTTCTGATAGCAAAAGACGAATAAGAAAACACGTTAATTAATAAAACGTGTTCAAAGGTCAGTTTATTTAAGTAAAAAGGTCATTTTAGGCAAAAACGTTAAAAGTTTTCAGTCTGATGATGGTTAAACGATGCACTCTGACTGAGTGGCTGTTGATCAGCACAAAGATGTAAAAATACGAATGTCAACGGGCGAATGCCTACACTTTAAAACAAAACATGGTAGTATTTAGTTCCGAGAAGATGCACCGCAACTGTGCAGGCCATTGGTCTGCGGTACACGACAAGTAAAGCAATGTGGAAAGTATGTAGCTTCATCTCTAGTGCTGTGCTGATATCCGTGGATTAATTGAAAAAGCTAAGTCAATTCTGAACATCAACACGAAGCTGGTATCAAAAAGAAAAGCTGACGATGGTGATAGCTGTCGTAACACTACATTTGTTGACACATCGTTTACTGTTCAAAACCCTAATAATATCTTGGGGCAAAATGAAAGTCAGGTTAGGAAACTATCTACAAAGTATGATGGTTACTTTGAAAAGTTACGAAAAGCAAGATGAAGTGCGTCGTTTCGGGTTTTCTCATCTCCAGAGCTAGCATATCAAGTCTGAAAACTTACGCGATGGAAGTGGAGCTTTGCCAGGGCATCTTAAAAGTATGTAGGCCATCCAAATCAGCATCCCAGCTAGTGAC